CCTCACGCTGGCTCTCCAAGTGCCTTCCAGGCCTCACAGGGCTGCCGGGCCTCTACCCAGGAGCAGCGGGCTCCGAGGCTGTGGTGAGGAGTGAAACCAGAGCCAGGGCAGAGCCTGGCGCTCCTTCTGGGCTGATAGCCCCAGGGGTGGCTGGTCACTTCTGGACTCTGCAGGCAGCCAGAGGCCGCTGGCCCTGGGAGTGAGCCATTAGGGCCCCTCCATTTGTTCTGCCCTCAATAGGGTTGGTGGATAAACGGAACCTGCTTGAAACCTGCGCTCCCCTTCATCCTCCCTGGCGAGAGGGACAGTTGTCTGTACTCACTGTGCTGGAAACCCCAACAGCCCTGGTGAATGGCCACCAAGGGTGACACCCCCCACCCAGTACAAGTCTCCCTGGCCTTGGCTCGGGCTTTAAGACAGACCCATAGGTCTGGGTGAGCCTCCTCTCTGCCTCTCTTCTGGCCTCCTAACCTCAGTGAACACTTTCTAACAGGTCCACAGAGCGCTCCTGTAAGCACGGCTGGGCTGAGATGGGAGGGAAGACGCTGGTGAGCGATCAGTGTCCCTAGATGGGTGGCTCTCAAAACACCAGGTGGAGTCGCAGTGAGCCACGCGTGCCACTCTGAGAACTGTGACGGGAACACGTGCAGCACCCACAGTGGGCCACGCACGGGAAGAGCAGCAGAGCAGAATGGGACATGGAATCTCACCGGCCAGCAGATCTGGAGGATGCTTTATTCATTTACTTAAATACTCGTATTGATGTCAGAGAGGAAGGGAGAGAGAGAGAGAGACAGAAACATCGATGAGAATCACTAATGGGCTGCCTCCGGCACACCCCTTACTAGGGAACGAGCCTGCAATCTGGGCATGTGCCCTTGATGGGAATTGAACCCAGGACCCTTCAGTCCCCAGGCTGAGGCTCTATCCACTGAGCCAAACCAGCTAGGGCTGGAGGACACTTTAAATAAAGAACCAAGCGGGTTGCATCTTAAGAGGGAGAAGAATTTATTTCCTTCCTTTCCCTGAATTCCTGAGCTCAGCAGGATGCAGAAAGGCTGGCCTGACACGGAGGCTCTGGCGCGCCCGCTTCACGGGAGGTGGGTGGGAGCCAGGCCTGGCGGGAGCATGAGGTGGACGCGGGCTCGGCCTCGCCAAGTAACCACTCGGCATGCAGCGCCGGCAGGAAGTAAGGCAGAACTCACCACAGGTTCTAATTAAGAAAATACTGCCACAAACCCCAACTCCTTAACTTGTCTTTCAACAAGCCTGCGGCTCAGCCAGGCGCAGGGTCTGGACAGGAGAGCATGAGCGGAGAGAGAACACTTACCACTCGGGAATGAGCACCGACCGCCAGCCACAGGTTGAAAGTACCTAAAACCGACACTCAGCCCGGGCACACGGCTGTCTTGTCAAAGCTGGGAACAGTCCTGAGCCTATGTTTTCGTCAGCATTTCTGTCACCAGGGCTGGCTGCCTGCCTGCCAGCTGTCCAGCCTCCTGTGACCAGGGAGTGAAGATGGGCGACTTTCCTTCTTCATTTGACTTTTTCTCCCCTTAGAAAGGTGACTGGGAATTGCAAGGCAACTACTGCTTCCCGCTTGCGATATTGGGGGTTGGGATCCAGGTCATGTGTGGCCACAGCTGTTGTTAATAAACTTGCAATGATTTCATAAAAGGCTTCCAAAGAGCCGAGGATTTAGTTTCAAATTATTCCCAGATCGACTGCAGATCGCTGAGCAACAGCAGAGTCTTACCCCCCCTCCCCCCAGCTGTCCCCCTGCAACAGGAAATTGCGGGGGGGGGAGGGTGACGCGCAGCCTGGAGGGGCACACGCTGTGCAGCTGGGGTCTGGACCGTGCTGGGGAGAAGCAAAGGCGGAGGCTCTGGGCTGCCTTCTGCAGTCTCTCCTGGGGCGAGGCCCAGCACCACACACCGTTCTGTCCAGAGCTCCCCAGGGCGCTGAGGCAGCCTGCAGTGTGGCCATAGTGTGCCTCCTCTCAGGGTCTCAGGGTTAAGTGCTCAGCCCGGGGCCTGCTGGCATTTGCTAAAGACAACACATCCCCACCCGCCATGCTTACTGACTGAGCCGTGCTGTGTCCTCCTGAGGAAAGTCCTCCAGTGACATCCGGATGCCATCAGGGACACTCAATTTGGAGCTGCCAAGCCCCCTTTCTACCACCTGCAACTTGCTCAACGGGGAAGGGGTCCCGTGAGGGTCCCCCATGTGGAGGCCCACTCAGTTCACTGGGCTCAGGGACCCCGTGGGCACCCTGCTTGGAGAGCATCTTTACTTGGGACTTTGCTCCAGGACATGGGGGCTTTCAGAGGGGAAGGAGCCGACATCTGGTCCAAGACCTGGACTTGCATCCGGTTTTCCCAAGTGACCTGAATGTCATTTTCTTCATCTGTATAACAGGAAAGTGGCCCTGCCCCCAGTTGTAAAGGCAACAATGGTATTTAAAACTGTGACTAGAAATAAAATGCTATGGCCAAGTGTGGGAGCTGGGGGATGGGGTAACATGAGGGCTCACTTGATTCTTTTTCCTTTTATAGAAGGTAAATTTAAAAAGTTAAGAAAGCCTGGCTAGAGTGGCTCAGTTGGCTGAGTGTTGTCCTGTGCACGAAAGGTTGCTAGTTCGATTCCCAGTCAGGGCACATACCTGGGTTGGGGGTTAAATTCCTGGTTGGGGCACATACAGAGGGCAACCTATTGATGTTTCTTTCTCTCTCTTCCTCTCTCTAAGCATTTCCTTGGGTGAGGATTAAAAAAAAAAAAGTGAAGGAAAAAAAAATGCCGAGGCCAGAAATTAGTTACCAACCTCAGGTCTGGAATATCTTCCTCCAGGGTGGGTTCCCACCTTTTCCTCATCAGCCCCCCCGAAGCACTCTTCTGCCCCTCACTGCTGCAACAGTGCTTCCTTCCTGGGCCACTGCAGCCAGGTCTCCAAGCTGCCGGGCCTCCATATCAATGACCGGGGATAGACACCCCTACTCCGACCTGTTACCGACCAGTCTCCAGCAAGTTTATCCATTTGTAAAAGTGGGATGACATGTCTGCCTTAGGGAACGGCTACAGAATTAAATATATGAACGCATATGGCAGTCACGTCCAATCCACTGCAGACTTGGGAAAGGTAAGTAGGTTTCCTCACCAATAGCCTGGAGATAACGGCACCAAAATGCAAACTGGCTGCAAAAGCCTTGGGTTTTATTTGAACTGAACATGCTTTACACGCCTACATTCAGAAAACAAAGTTGTAGAAAACAATTCTGTGCAGTTTCTGGTAGCCAAAACCCATGATCAATACCGACTTTGTTTTGTATTAAGGAATTATGCCAAACTGGTAGGGTCCAGGCTGCCAGGTGACTTCTGAACACAAACTCCCGCAGTGAGGCAGGAAGCGTGCGCCCCGCCACTCACGCAGCCACACTCGGCCAAGAGAGGAGTCAGCATATTTGGATCCAGTCAAGTCCCGGGAGAACCCTCCCCCAATGCAAATGTTTGTTCACTTGTGTGTTGGGATTTCGCTTTGCATTCTGGCCCCTAAACCAGAGAACTGTGGTTTGCTGTGACTATGTTTGCTACTGTTTTTTTCTTTCTAAAATGACATCTTGTTTTTGTAAGACTCTTGGTGAATGTTTGGTTTATTTTAGATAACTAACAGAAAGAGAACCTTACCCTTCACCATGTTAGCTCTCCAATATGAAGTTAGTTTGGGTTCCCAAGCAATCGCTGGTCATTAAGGATGAAAGCTCCACTTCTCGCCAACGCACGGACCGCTCCCCACTGACAAATGAGACTCTTCCCGGCCCTGTGGGCTCATTAGGCGGAAAGCAGGCTCTGCCGACAGGGCCTGTTTGTTTCCCTGAACTGCTGAATGGCGTTGTGTTCTCAGAAGCCACAACAGATGCCGGGCTGGAATTCCATCGGTCTCCTGGCGAGAATTAAGGAAACGGCTGATCCCAGTTTTGATGGGAACGGGACACGAAGAACAAAATCTCTGGCTGTGGCTACCAGAGGAAACCGAAGGGGTTTGTAGGTGCCCAACCTTCCGTCCCAGCTTATTTTAAGCAAATCCAGAACCTTTCTCAGAGTAGAAGACAACTCCACAAGAAAACAAGGGGGCAGCCGCATGCTATGGCACCCAAACAAGGTAACAGAACAGGAGAAACCTTTATCACTGATTTCACGCGTGGGAAGAAAGTAGGTGGCAGGAGAGGGACTAAGAACCGGGAGGAGGAGGAGAAAGAAAACCAGCACTAAGAATAGGCCAGCCTGCCGGCATCCTCCCTCGTGGTCCTCCCACTCTGCACTTTGTTTCTAGAGACAATATGGGGCGGGGGAGGAGTACTTCTCAGGAGCCACAGCTGAAGAAAAAGGATCATTTCCCCACCTCATTCCTAGAGATGCTCGGCCCCCGTGGCTACTTGGATGGGGCAGAGGAGGGAGTCAGCAGAATGGCCATGACCTGAGGTTCTGTCCCCAGAGCAGCATGGCTCACCTTGCCCAGTGCTCCCTGCACCGCCCCTCCCGCCACACACCGACCACAGGACGGCTCCTCTCTTTACTAAACCTCCCCTTTCGTTCATGGTTTGTCCTCAGCGATGGGGAGGGCGGGGGGTACTAATCGGCCTTATGGGGTCACAGGGCTGTGGGATAAGAGCAATTCCTGGGGCCTCGCCCCAACGTCTGACCAGTGAGGAGGTTGTTCCTCACACTCAGGTGCCTGGTCTCCAGAGGACTCACTGCTTTTCCAAGTTGGTGGCTCCATGGCCCGCAGCCCGGTCGGCTGTGCTTTCACGGAGGCCTGTTATCCCGACACCTTTTGTCAGGCACATCCAAGCTGCTCTGCACCAGGGCAAAGACCTTTTCTTTGGCTTATAAAATACTGGCTCGAACTGTGTATTTAAAAAAATTATTTTTGTTAATCCTCACCCAAGGATATATTTTTTCTCACTGATTTTTAGAGAGAGTGGAAGGGAGGAGGAGAGACTGAGAGAAAGAAACATTGATGTGAGAGAGACATCGACCGGTTGCCTCCTGCATGAGCCCAACCAGGGCCAGGGATAGAGCCTGCAATCGAGGTACGTATCCTTGATCAGAACAGAACCTGCAACCTTTTGGTCCGAAGGCCGATGCTCTAACCACTGAGAAAAACTGGCCAGGGCTTATAAGTCTTTCTTCTTTTATTTTATTTTAAAAAATTGATTTGAGAGAGTTAGGGAGAGAAACATTGATGTGAGAGAGAAATATCTATCAGTTGCATCCTGCACCTACTCTGACCAGGCATTGAATCCGCAACCTAGGTATGTGCCCTGACCGGGAATTGAACCTGCCACCTCCTGGTACACAGGATGATGCTCCAACCAACTGAGCCACACCAGTCGTGCTGAACTGTATATTAAAAAAAAATGTTTCTTATTGATTTAGAGACAGAGGGAGAGACTGAAACATTACTTGGTTGCCTCCAGTCCATGCCCTGAAAGGGGATTGAACCCTCAACCCAGCTTTATGCCCTGACTAGGAATCAAAGTGGAGACCCTTTGGTGCATGGGACAACACTCAAGCAACTGAGCCACATGGCCAGGGCTGGACTGTGTTTTAAAGATCCTTGGATTAATAACCCAATCTTTGCCCTGGCCGGTTTGGCTCAGTGGATAGAGCGTCGGCCTGCGGACTCAAGGGTCCCAGGTTCGATTCCGATCAAGGGCATGTACCTTGGTTGCAGGCACATCCCCAGTAGGGGGTGTGCAGGAGGCAGCTGATAGATGTTTCTCTCTCATCGATGTTTCTAACGCTCTATCCCTCTCCCTTCCTCTCTATAAAAAATCAATAAAGTATATTTAAAAAAAAAATAACCCAATCTTTAAAAATTGGGAGAGTTCACATTAAAATACTTATTTCTAGCCTCTTTGGAAAATTTGCAGCCATGGTAACTGAATATAATCTCATCTGGCAACAAGCTGTGGGAGCTGAGTAGCAGCCCACACCTTCTCCTGTTTGCTGCAGTCCCTACCACACCCTACTGTCCCCTAGACCTGGCCTATTCAATGCTCACCAATCACTTATATTACTACTCGCCCTTGTGGTAACATGGGTCGTGACCCCCAGCTGCATGCTGTTTTGTATTTTATGTGTAAATCTTCCCATGCTCACCCCCCCAATGTTTTAAAATAGATAAATAGCATTGCTTTTTATAGCTGTATACTATACTAATGTGAGCATCCGACCCCTGGGCTGTCCACCACTGTTACATGAGGGAGAAATAGACCTTTATCTTGTAGAAGCCACTGCTATTTTGGGGCTTTCTGATATTCACAGACAAATTAATCCTTATTTTAAAATAGGAATTTTTACTGATTTCTTAAAAAAGAATAAAAAAAATATATATATAATCACTGATTTCAGAGAGGAAGGGGGAGAGGGAGAGCGGGAGAGAAGGAGGGGGAGAGAGAGAGAGAGAAAGAGAGAGAGAGAGAGAGAGAGTGATAGAGAGAGAGAGAGAGATGATGAGGGAGGATCATTGACTGGCTGCCTCCTGCACACTCCACACTGGGGAAGGAGCCCACAACCCAGACATGTGCCCTGACAAGGAATCAAACCAAGACCTCCTGGTTCATAGGTCGATGCTCAACCACTGAGCCACGCCAGCCGGGCTTTACTGATTTCTTACTGAGTCACATTACTCTTTAGATATTAACATATTAAATTACCTATATCACATATATGTTACAATTTCCCTTGTTTCTCAATCCACATGATAGCCAGTGTGACCTTGAAAACTTAAATCAGGCCAAGTCACTCCTCCTACATAAGTCCGGCAATAGCACCCACCACACTCGGTGAGACCCATCCACAGTCTGGTTCCTTTGCCCACCTCTCTTACGTTCCTTCCTTAGCTCACCACCTGCAAGCCACACTGGCTACTTTTGTCCCCAAAAAGGCTCAATTTGTTTTATTTCCTTGGCTCGCCTTGCTGCTTTTCCTCCTCCCCACACAGGTCTCCCAGATCACTCTGTGTTTGGCCGCCCCCTCCAGCTCCTGTCCTTCCCTATCACGGTACTCTCATTATTCCTACACAGCACCCACTACGTGAAGGATTCTTGTTTTAGGCTGTAAACTTCACGAGGGCGAGGCTTTTCTGTCAAACTAGTCCTGGCAACACTGAATAGTTAAGAATGAATCTATCATTTTCCTAGTAAATTGAAATGGTATTTTTTTCACATTAAACTCGTATGGGTCTATTTCTGGTGTCTATTTTGTTCCTTTGATCTCGCTGCCTATTCTTTTATCAGCCTATATGGTTTTTTGGTTTTTTTTAAAGTATATTTTTATTGATTTCAGAGAGGAAGGGAGAGGGAGAGAGAGAGAGAAATATCAATGAGGAGAGAGATTGGCTGCCTCCTGCACGCCCCCTACTGGGGATCCTGCCACAGCCTGGGCCTGCGCCTCTGACCAGAATTGAACCTGGGACCCACTTCCGTCTACAGGACGCTCTATCCACTGAGCCAAACCAACCAAGGCAGCCTATATGGTTTTAATTAGTTTAGCTTAATAGTAAAAATTAGTCTTATTTTCAAAATGATAGGTAATTTTTCAGGGAAAAGTCCTACTGAATTTAAATGGGAATTGCAGTGAACTTCTAGATGACTTTGGAGAGAACTAATTTCTCTATAAATACCAAGTCTCCTATTTGAGGGCCAAGATGCGTCTCCATCATCCAGGTCATCTTCACTTGTCTCAGGTGAAAGCGGAGGAGTGACTGGCTGACACTGGGCATCCCCATGGGCCTTGGTGCCCTTCCTCAGGCTTTTCATTTGCCCAGCCAGCAGGTCCTCACTGTTCGGCTGAATCACTTCTTGGTAGAACAAGCCTTCTCACATGTCACACTGCTGTCCTTATAGATCAACTTACAAAGGACTGTGATAGTTTCAAATTTAAAACTATTTTAAGAACAACTGATATTTCTAATATAAAACTATTTAAGAACAGAGCACATTTGTCCATATGTTCAAATCTCTTTCTTGTCCTTCGATACGGTTTTCCTTGCATTTCTAACTAAAGTTTATTTCTAGGGTATTTGATGATTTATATTGCTGCCGAGTGGCGTTCTGTGTACTTATTTTGTATCTAGCCATCTGCTGCTTCTATAGCCTTCACGTTGATTATTTCGTCTTTTCTCGGGTCTAACATGGTGGATCTGCTTTTCTTCTTTACACATCAAAGTGCTTACAACAGAGTCTGACACATGTGGGTGCCCAATAAACATTAGCAATTATCTTCTCCAATACCTGTACCTTTTTAAAAATTCTCTTAGCTAGTTGTACTGACTAGCAGTTCCAGAATAAAATAGTGATAGTCTTACATTTGACTTTTTGGGAACATGTCTATGTATTTCATTATTAAATACATGCTAATATTGACTGCTTTGAACTATGGACTTTAAAAAAATAATATTAAGTAAAGCATCCTTCTAACACTATTTTTTAAAGCTTAAAATCAAGACTGGCTATCTGATTTTAATTCAATGTCTTTACCATCTAAAGCTATTATACAGTGAATTTTATTAAGAGGTCATAAAATATTGAACCATCTTGCATTTCTGGAACAATCTTACTTGGTCATGGTTTTTATTTGCTGGTATTTTATTTAGAGAATTGAAAACCTATAGTCATATGTAGAACTGATCTGTAGTTTTCTTTTTGGGGGTTATCTCTGTCACGTGTTGGTATCAGCATTATGCAGGTTTTATTCAAATATTATGTAAAACTTTCCTTACTTTTTTATGCTCTGAAGCATTTCAGATGGCATAAAGAATTTTATTCTCTAAAGGTTTGAAAAGTTTGCTCATAAACTGGTTGGGCATGCTGGTTTCTGAGGAGTAGCTTTTTTAAAAAAATATATTTTATTGATTTTTTACAGAGAGGAAGGGAGAGAGATAGTTAGAAACATCGATGAGAGAGAAACATCGATCAGCTGCGGCCGATGCTCTACCCACTGAGCCAAACCGGTTACGGCAGGAGTAGCTTTTTTATTACTCAAGTTTTTCCTGTGGTTATTGGTCTATATATTTCCTATCTTTTCACAGGTCACAACATGTCATGATACATCACCTTACTTCATTATATTATCTTACTGATATTCCCCCTACAGTGCAATAGGCAGCCAGGCATTCACTTACAGTGGGGTCGGTCCAGAGAGAACATCTCGAACACTCCTGGCAGGGGGCTCCTGGAGAGCGAGGATGCTGGCAGAAATGGTCATACCCATTGATGGATACTCGACAGAGGTAGCACATTTGGGCTCCGCAGCGGCAAGACATGCGGTTGCAGCCTTCGGATTTGATGAGGCCCGTCCCACATTTATGGCATTTTCTAATGCGAGCAGCAGTCATTTTCTCTTCACTGAAAACAAAAACAAAAACACATGATTGGAGACAGCAGGGAAGACGAAGAAGAGAGAAAAATATGGCTATTCTGTATGATTGCCTAGCCCTTTTGGTGACATTCAAAGAGTCTATGTTTTGGACCTGAGAACTGGGTTCTGTGGATGAGTTGTTAACCTTCAGTAAATTACTCAACTGGAGACTCAGTTTCCTCATTTTTAAAATTGGGAAAACACAGCTTTCTCATAGTGTTTTGAGGGTTACAGGCAAAATACAAAGTACCCTGGCACAGTGCCTGGCACAAAGCACTTAGAAAATGACAATCTATTTGTTATAGGAGTCTCTGTAGGCTTGAAATGGAGAGAAAATATTCAGGGTTTTCTGAAATATTGTGTTTTATATATACAGAGCTGGGTAATGGAAAGCCAGTAAGACTAAATCTTAGTTATATTCACACCTTGGACTTTTAAATATTTGGCACAGGGGTGGGGTAGACACAGTTGGGAGTGATCCAATAATAGCCAATGGAATCCCATATTTCCAGACTCCCTGGCAGCGAGGGATGGGCACACATGTGACTCAATGGGAAGGAAGCCTGTGGGCTACAAGTTTCCAGAAGCATTTCAGC